CCGTTGCTGACCCAAACACCGGCCGCAGCTGGTGATGCTCTCGGGTTTTTAGGCTGCGGCTGACGCAAGCCCCTACGCGGCTGACGTCAGCTGCCGGGTTTCCAGGCTGAGGGAGCGGAACGTTCGGAGCGACGCTCGACTACCGGTGGCTGATGCAACGCTGGGGCGATGGTCTGGAAAAATAGCAGGATAGAGAAAAAACAAATAGCGAGAAAAGTAAGAACTCTCTAAGGCTCTGTTAACAATGAGCTTCAAGATAAATAACATTTATAAAGTGCCCATGGAGCGTCAAACGTAAAGATTCGAATAGTAAGTTTGATTTGAAAATCATAATAGGAAAATTTCGATGAACTTGAGACACCCATGTGTACCTCAGGTGCATCGGCCAATGCCAGCATCATCTCTTTTCAAGTGCAAGTTTTAGGTTCGTTAAGTTCAAATGAAACGTGCACATGAGAACATATTCAAGTGATGGGAGTTGATTTAAAAAAAAAAATTCTCGTGCCTTCTTTCTAGGATAAAATTTCATTTGAAAATACTCTTAAACCTCGAAATGGTAGATTTTTTCAAACGATAATACAGCTGAACAGTTTACGACATTTTGACTGGGATTTAAAAAAAATCTATGTATTTGATCGCGTTTGTAATTATGACAAGACTTTTATTTACCAGAGGCCACATCATTACATCGGGAATTTTAATACAATATTTTGTAAGGGAAATCACTAATTACTGTCATCGAGCCGGACCAGGGACTGGTCCCTATAGGGACTGGTCCCCTAAGTTGTAAGTCACCTAAACTCCACTTGTAAATGAGAAAGAAATCTGAATTTTTTCGTTATTGTCCGACTATTTACTTACAATCTGTTGACAGTCACAAAAAGTATGTAATATCTTGATTAAAACAGTAATACCGTTAGGATGAGAAAAAAATTCGAAACTTTGCATATTAATTTTCATGCATTGTGCAACCTCTGCACTCTTTTTGAGATGTTACAAACCAAAAACTAGTCATAAACTAGCAAGCTCATATGTGGACTGAAGATACCGAATACTAGCAGTTCTGATAGAGGTATTTTGGAAGAGATGATGGGACATAAACGCGTAAATTACGGGGGATCGGCCGTGATCCACAAATTTAACTCTTATATAAGCCATGGAGCGTACACTCAGCCTCAGCATGCAATAACTTTACTCAACAGAGATAGAAGCCGCAGTCTACGCTGGAACACCGTAATCCACACCAGTGATACACTGCTTAATGATAATTGCTCCGTAGGTCGTCAGCCGAAACTTCAGCATGCTCGCTCATAAGCAGGCAGTTCCGCATTTGGCTGTACCTACTCCGGCCTAACGTCTTTTGACCCAACATGTTTACGTTGCCCCGACTCACAACTTGGTTACTTGGTTAAGATGAGGCGCGTCACCGTCTTGAGTATTGGCGCCCCTACTCACAACCTTCTAGCAGCCAATGACTGGCTCTACCTTCTCACTTGCCACTCCTCTCTAACATCCAGAAGTCAATGAGGTTAGGTTTGAGTTTTGACTGCTCAGCTTCGTCTTCGCGTAGTGAAATGTTGCAACGCGTGTAAGATACACCAGAAAAGGTTAGGCAAGAATAAGTGTGGCCAGATGCAGTATGACCACGCTTAACTTGGGCATTATCATGCTGTGGTTGTGGACAATGGACAGTCGACGTTATGGCTTTAAGAACTAGACTTCATAGGCTGCTATTCCCTCAATGTTCTTACCCACGGAAACGAATGTGATTAAAGTGATTAAATAGAATGTGTGTTGAGGCTTCTCGTACACATCTGATTCCATCCCTTAATGCTGTAATAGGAGGTGTCGTCATTAGCCAACGTCATTCACTAGACAGAACGATTATAGACTAAAGCCCGGTCCACACGCTCAGTTTTACACAACGATTTGTCTGCGCAGTTCTAATCGTTGCAGATAAAACGTTGCGTGTGGATGGGAAAACTGTTTCAGCACGTATCGTCATATAACTCGGGAATGAAGGTGAAATTCCAAAAATGTTCACGAGCTAAACATCACCGTTAAGTCCTAATGAATACGTGTATCAAGTTTTATCGAGCTAGCTACGTTCATTACTTCGGGAGATATTCCATGCTCGCCGAATTTGGGGAGACCGGCCGTAAATTTATCCGAGACGTCTCCATGGCGAGATCGCGCAAAACTGAGCAAACTACTCAGATAAGTCGGTACCGTGTGGACGCTCTAAAAATTGCAACGATTTCATACCGACTTAAAACTGCGCAGACAAATCGTTGTGAAAACTGAACGTGTGGACCGGGCTTTACGACACTACGCAACCTTTGAATTCGCTTTTGTTTCGTTTAGATTATTACCTATTTGAAATTTACCCCAGTTCCTCCGATGATTCGGTGAGCTAATTTAGTTTAATCTATTTCTTTTGTATGTTATTATTCTTGAACCATATTGTTGAATACCACGTTATTCGTTTATCTCGCATTACAAAATTGTCGTTCTTTTATGTGCAGAAACTCACCATCAATAAACGTGATAAAAGTGTCGAATCATCTCATTTTCACGAAACTTTGGGGAAACCTTTATAATGTGATTAAATCACGTCACGAAAAGTACAAGAATCGGCAACAGGCCATGGGCCTATTTCTTCAGTGCCGACACTTCTATTCTATTCTAAAGTGTGAAGTTGGGCGAAGCTGACCTCCGCCATGCACCCCGTGAGCCATTCATTGGTTGCAAGAAGGGTGAGAGTCGGGGTAGCGTAAATAGGTCTAAAGACGGTAGACCGGAGTAGGTGCAGCCGGATGCGGAACTGCCTGCAGCTTATGAGCAAGCATAGTTTAGTTATGGCTGAAGACCCACGGCATTATTGTCTTTAAGCAGTGTGTCACTGGTTTTGATAACTGTGTTCCAGTGTATTCTGCGGCTGAGTAAACTTATCCCATAACTGAGGCTGGGTTTCGGCTTCAAGGCTTATTTAAGAATATATATTTAATATATATATTCTCAATAACAAGCCTTGGAAGAACTACAGAAGATTCTTCTAAAACAGATAACCAGAATGCGGCCAGTCTCAATGTTTTATCAACAGGTTTGGGAGAAAAAGGGAAAAAATATTCATGGTACAAGGTCGGCCAACTAGCACCTGCGCCTAAAGTCCTCATGGAAAAAGCCCTCAGTGATAATACTTTGGATTACGATGAAGATGAACCTGATTACGAAATTGACGAGGGGGTCTTTACGTCCATTGGCGACATGGGAAAAGCTCTACGTCAAGTCTGGGATTCTTTCAGCAAAAGGATGGACGGAATCGAGCGTCATGTTAAGTCTCCCAATGCCAACGGGGGCTCCGCCCCCGGCTGGAACAGTGGCTGCTGGCTTACGGTGCCTATAGTATAAGCACTTGAGTTCAAATGTTAATCTACTCAGTGGCATGCTTGTGCACGGGAAAAATATGAAAGCGATGACGGTATTGGGCAAAGCTGGCCTCTAACGTGCAGCCCGTTTCAAAAACCTCACACTCAGAATTTGCCGCACTGTGACGCCGCAAGATTTCCATGCGACTTTTCTTTTCGCTTCGAGTCACCGACATGTGGAACAGCCTCCCTGATAGCATCGTTGGCGCTCCGAGTATGAACGCATTCAAGAACAGACTAGACGAAGCTATGCAGGAGCATATGTTCAGTCTTGAAATGCCTAGCACCTTACGGACCTGGCAATAAGTCCAGCAGCTATCTCAAACAATCGTCAGTCATGGAAAGATCCGGTTCAAAAGGATCCCATGTGAAATCGTGTCACGAAAAGTACAAGAATCGGCATCAGTCCTTGGGCCTATTTCTTCAATGCCGGCACTTCTATTCTTTTTTTTTAACAGAAGAAAAGGCATAGACTGATAGAGAGAAATAAGGAGATGGAGAGAGGTTAGGAAAAGAGAAATAAGTCGGACACCGTCAGAGATTACGCTAGATCAGAGCTTGCCACTGTGTGGAGTGGCCCATTGGTGAGAAATCGAATGATGGGAAACCTGGCGGAATTCAGTCTTAAAATGCCTATAATTTGCTAGGCATTTTAAGACTGAACATATGCTCCTGCATAGCTTCGTCTAGTCTGTTTTTGAAGATGTTCATACTCGGAGCTGCAACGATGCTATCAGGGAGGCTGTTCCACATGTCGGTGACTCGAAGCGAGAAGAAATGTTGTCGCATGGATGTGCTCCAACGCTGTTTTTCATTTATTCTTGTTGGGGGCAGAATAAGTTTGCGTCAGTAGGTGTGATGTAAAGTTTTTGAGTGGTAGGATAGTATTTCCCTCTCTTTATACAGTATTTATTAGTTCTTTCACGAGAGCAACCTTCGCTCTCATTCTGTATTATACACTCTACTAGATTAGCACTAGTATTTAACACTTTTGGGACGAATTTTCAGAAGTTATGCTTCCTTAAACTGTGACTAATTTTTTATAAGAAAACATTAGGATAACAAGAAAACCTATAAAAATTGTACTCAAATTTCTATCTGGAGTATTTACTCAAGCCGTGTGATACCTTGCTTACCATATAAACACTGAATGCAATAGACGAAATGAAGTAAGGTATAAATGATGCAATGTTTACAGTTGTGGTCTGGCTTATCTCATCTTGAATTTACGATACAGGAAGGCGGCTTTGGTAAGTCTTGTCGGTGGGTGACTTAATGAATCATGATAAATTAATTTTTTAGCTGTCTAAAATCAATTTATTTGGTATTGTACTATTTTTTGGACGATTAACGTATGGATAAGATATACAATATACTGTAAAATCGGTAAGTGCACCGAGTCATCACACATTCATTCACATCCGAGTCATCAACATTCAAGTCCAAACCAAACTCAGTTTGGGTCAAAGTCGTAATGAGATAAGACTGGAAAAACTGATACTATTTACAGACTTTTAATGAAATTTTGGCATAACATAGGTTGAGGATGTAAAGTGCCAACTTCATTGCCGCGAAGTCAGACACGTGAAGGTACGATGGTACGATCAAGGTAGACGGCAGTAGCCAGTTAGGCTATGCTTCTCAAGTTCTCCATAAGTAGGTTACATAGGTAATTACAAATTGCAATGTACGATTGATTTGGCCAATGCTGGCACATGTTTGGCAAAGACTTAGTCATTTAAATAATAGATCTAAATGCCTGTTTAACTTTAAGGGCTGAATTCCCATTCCCTTAAAAGTGCATGTGTAAAACTAAAAGATAATTTAATGGGTGATTTTCTAAATGACTGATCTAAATGCCTGTTTGAGGGCTGAATTCCCTTTAAAATTATATGTGTAAAACTAAAAGATCATTTAAAAGGTGATTTTTTAAAATTGCTGGCAAAAATTTGCTATTTTATTACCACAATTTTATTCTTTTTGCTTTGTGTCCATCTGTCTGACCTCAAAAATTCAAACCCTAATTTAGAGCACTGTAAAATGGGTAACTTAGACTACTTTTTAAATGATGCCATTTTTTTACTAGCTAAATTAAACTTAAATTGAAACATGCAAAATACAGGTCAATACTCTAGGTTCACTCACCATAAATTGCTGGCTCCTGCCTCTCATAGTTTTTATGTAATTTAAAAAAAAAGTGATGGTCTTTGTTACCCCCAGCTCTGAGCTCTCAGGGTATCTTAGACTGGGTAGTAACATCAATTATATTTTTTGGTAAATTGGTAAAATAACTCCAAATAATTCCAGGTTGGAACTTAGACTACCTAATGTCAGCCATGAATGGGTAATATTGATCGACTTGGAAATTAAGCAAAAATTACCATATATAAAACTGTAGAGTCTGAAACATAAAGAAAAAACATTAATAGGTGTATCAAACATGTAATATGTTATATATGGTGATTTTAAATTAATTTCCAAGCTGGTCTATGTTACCCCGTCAGGGCTGACATTAGGTGGTCTAAGTTCCCCCATTGAGGCCTTTTAGGGCAGTGCCCCCATTTGCAAACTATGAGACTTTCCTAAAATTTATCATTTGCATATGAACTAGAAAATTTGTACTACAATGCATCAAAACCTGGAGTTATTTTGCCAAAAAATAAAAAAAATTGGAGGGGGTACTCCGACAGGCTTTAAATAATACGTAGCTCTTTTTTGTTGGTCACATTCTTAATTTTTTAACCTATTAGATATGCAAACTTTTTAAATCTTTCTATTGTGTTACGCAGCCTAAGTATTAGGCCTTTAATGCCCTTTGACAGAATTTTTCTGTGTCAAATAATTTTTGAGTTTTGGGGGTTTTTGTTGAAAAAACGAACCGTGGTCTAAGTTACCTTGGGAGTCTAAGTTACCCCATTTTACGGTATTACTGCAGATTTGCCACCATTCAGGCATGAATATGTCCAGTTGTCCACCTGCTGAGCAGCAACATTAGCCATCAAAGCTTTTCCTTAATCCCATCATTTTGTGGCCATTAGGATCCCATTCAATGTATTATCTCTTGTTTAATTGTTAAGATAAGTGAATGATTGGGCTGCAAAAATCGAAATTTATTGAAACTATGTTACTTTAAGCAGTAAAATCTTAGTAATCAGTGTAATTATTCCAATCTTCTTCCCAGAAATACCTAAATCTTCAAGACTTCTTGTCAGTAATACTTGTAAAGAGGTATATTGGAAATGTCAGCAATGTGTTTGAAGACATAAATTTTGATGCTAATGTCTTGCCAAAGTTACAGATATTTACTCAAAATCTATACATTGGATGAAAGAATTAGAGAGTAATGGAAGAATTAAATTGTACATTTCCCAAAAATTTGCTTACAATTTTAAACTGATTAGGTGACCAGGTTAAGGTATGAAAATTAGTAAAAAAATGTTATAGAGTATAGGCTTTTGCTAAGGAAACTTTTCTTTCAATTGGCGCATTGTTATTGTACATACGCTGCTAATTTTTAATTCAATTGCAGTTTCCTTTTTTTCACAAAAACAATGACATTGCCAAAAGCAGATGTGAGACTGCTATGTAGCTTAGATTAAATAGGTGGATCAAAATTCTAGTTCTTTATATATATTTTTACATTGCAAAATTATTATAAATGACACATGGAATCTCCATTTGATGTTATAATAATCTTAATTCTCAATGAAAACTAAAACAATTTACAACAAGGTCTAAATAGACTGGACCAACTTATACTTGGGCTTATTATTATGCATAATAATTAACCCATGGACCTTACCCCTTGTATATCTTACCCTTACCATTGTGTATTGTCCCTATTGTAATTATTGCTTTCTTCCAGATAGTTTGAAGGATGCTTCTTATTTAAAAATTTCAAGATGAGTCGTCGAAGTTTTCTTAATCGGTTCATCAACAAGAAATCTAAACATGTCAGTGATGTTGATGAGATCTCCACCCCTACTGACATCGCCCACAATATCCACGTCACGCGTGATCCAAAGACTGGCAAGCTTGCCGGCATCCCTGATGCTTGGAAGAAATATGTAGACTCCTCCATAAGGTGAGTGCTTTTGTTCCTGTGTACTTAATTGTTTCCTATAATTGATGCCCTGTAATTTTACTAATCTGAAGGCAATATATACAAGGGTTGGACAAAATAAGGGAAACACCTGACATTTGATATCTTCATTTTTTAACATGTTATAAACAATTATAATGCAACATATTTTCATGTTTTATTTGTTTATTGTTGCTTTTAATTGATATTTTATCCAAGCACAAATATTTTTAGTAAATTTTTGTGCCTTTACTAACCTATAAATGGCAAACTTCTCTGACTTTCAAAGAGTCCAAATTGTTGGTTCCCATATGGCAGGTGCTAGTGTGACAAACTCCCAGAATGCTTGACGTTTCTAGAATCTAGAGGTAGGTACTGTCTCAGAATTAATGACTGCTTTTAAAAGAGAAGGACAAACATCCTTAGCAAAGCACAGATATGGCCAAAAATCAAAGTTGTCTGAAAGAAACCATTAGTACCTAAATCAAATTGTTTGGGACAATCAAAAGACCACAGCTGTTGAAATTACTGCAGACCTCAATGGACACCCAAAGAACCAAGTTTCCATAAAGATTGTCTGCCAAGAGCTGCACAGATCTGGATTCTATGGTAGAGCTGCAATTAGGAAACCTATGGTTTCAAATTCAAATGCTTCAAAGCAATAAGAGTTGTGTAAAAACCTTCTGAATTGTTCCCTTGAGCAGTGTAAAATGTGATTTTCTTTGACCAATTGATTTTTTTCCAACCTCTGGCTGAGTTTACATTTGGAAACAGCCAAGAGTAATTTAATCCCAACTGCCTCCTCCCAACCATAGGACATGACTGGGGATATGTGATGTTCTGGGGTGCTATTTATTGGAAATTGGGTGACAGGGATTTCTCTTCACGGAGGCATTAACAGCCGTGACTATGTAGGAATTTTGGAGAAATAAGTTCATCTGCTGATTCAAGCACTTTTTATGTAGGGGAATGCCATCTTTGAAGATGATAAGGCCTAATTCATACAGCTGGAATCGTTAAACAATGGCATGAGGAACATTTTTAAAGAAGTTGAGCATCTCATTTGGCCACTACAATTACTACTAGACCTGTATATTACTTTTGAGCATTTATGGTTAATTTTAGAGATGCAAGTCAGAAGTTGATTCCTGCTGCCATTGTCTTTGAAAGAGCTGCAAGGAGTTTTTACTGAAGTCTTTACCATTTTAACTGAAGAATGGGTTATAATTTCTTTGAAGACAATTCTCAATTTTTATCAATCGATACCTTGGAGAATTGAGGCTGTAATTGCCTCAATTCTACAAATGTGGTCCTACATCATCCTAAAATATATTTTGTGGATTTCTCTGGTGGTTTCCTTATTTTGTCAAACCCCTGTATATAGATAGGTACATATTACATAGTGGTAATAGTAGAAAATACCAAAGCACTGATCCCAAAACTGATGCTTATGAACTTAATTGTTGTAAAGATATTGATGATCTTATATTAATATTAATCATTTGTTGTGAAGAGGATAATTTCAGCAATGAAGTAGTGATTCATTTTGTTGTGTTACCTGTTAGCATATTCCTTACATGCATATTATTGTCTATGTCTTGAACTTATTATGAGTCAAATATTAGTATTAGGTATGTAGCCTAGATTAATTTGGATGTTAATGCATCTCTGTTGTTGGTCTCATAGTTGTGCCTAGGAAGGCTAGATGGCTGAGGTGAGTTGTTGTTACCATTCCCTTTTTCTACAGATATCACATTTCCTGATTTCTATTAATACTTTTCAAGATTGCTACCACTCTGACTCATCTGTACATACCTATTGTGGACGCTGCAAATTCTTGGAATATTTCCAATTTTAAGCAAACTCTGCTTATTGTAATTTGAAGCTAAATTATTATTTCTTGCTTAATTGCATTTACATCTATCTTAAATTGTGGTATTTTGATTGACAAGTTATTAGTATTTTTTTTTAGCCATGTTCAACTTCTTTCTTAAGGTATATGGTACTGAGCAACTACCTTTTATCTGTAGGTAGTGCAATAGTTTATTGCCAGCTCTACTTCTCCCCAGCCATAATCTTCAGTTTTGACAGCTGCCACATGTCAATCCATGGAGTTGCAAAACTTTTTATTTTTTTTTGCAATTTTAACAAACCTAGCACAAAAATTTAACTAACAAAACTATTGGTGTCAGCTTTCAGTAATAAATCCCATAGGTAATTTTTTGGATTTTGAAATACAAATGAGTTGACAAAATTGAGTTTTATATAGGTATACTGGTATGTTTGCAGCGCTTTTAATAATTTGTGAGCATGGTTTTATTTATGCAATTATTTCTAGCTATTGTTGATGGACCTTCTCTTCTCTTAACCTCTGTTTGGTCGGCTAGCTTGTAGCCCTCAATCAGAACATTGACAAAACAAGAAGAGAATTGAATAATTATTATTGAAGACAGTTCCTTGCTGTTGCTCACTATTTCTTGGCTATTTCAATGAAAAAAATGCATCATTGTTCTTGTTACCAAATTGTCACTTTGCAACATGTAAATATCTGTTCAACACACACAAAAATAAATCTTTGTTCAATGTTATCTGTACCAGCTTACTTAACTATCCATAGAATTTTACCTTGCAAGCACACATGTCAATCTGCATGCCTGTATTGATCTCTTTGAGTATAGCTGAAATAAACTCTTAACTTTTGCCAATTTTCATTTGTCTTACTGAATTTGAGGTGCAGGTTACCCATATCTTGATGTCTGTTCAAGTCTAATACAATTCTGATAGTGTTTTTTAAACTGTTTAACTTTGAAAGTTAGCCCTGATTGCTGTACCGTACTAAACAGCATAAATTTAAGTATATTTTGCTCAAAATGTAGAACAAATTTCACTTTAATACTTTCATTTCTAATTGCAGCGAGCAGGAAATCCTGCACAACCCACAAGCTGCTGAATCTGCGGTGAAATTCTTTCAATATTCCTTAAAGAAAGGCCCTGATGACGTCAAGCATCTCTTCACCCCACAACACATCAAGGATGAGAGACAAGCAATTGAGTCCATACTTGACAGTCCATCTGAAGACAGAGGTGAGGTTCTAGTCTGTCATGGACAGTCCATCTGAAGACAGAGGTGAGGTTCTAGTCTGTCCTAGACAGTCCGTCTGAAGACAGAGGTGAGGTTCTAGTC